GCCAAACACAGTGTTCCAGACATGTCTCCAGAGCTTTGGTACAAGGGTACAAATTAATTCCTGTTTCCTCTGACTTTGACATGGTTAACTCCATGACCAGTGCAGGCTGGCCACATTCAAAGAAGAGCTAAGTGGCCTCTCAGTCAAAAGTAACAAAGGATCATGCGTACAAGCTCAATTCCAGGTACTGAGTGACCACCTGTACCACCAAGCTCATGAGGAAGACTTGGTAGAACTTAATGAGTTTGCCCTTGCAACCTCAGGGATATTCCTGCTTCTTTGTTTGGGATGCTCTGAACTACAGAGCTGTGTGTTTGAAGTTAACAGCTGCTGCTACATTTTTGTTAATCTAGCATTAGAATAATCTTCATTAAGGAAAACTGCAAAGCTATTAAAAAAAATCAGAAAAATATAAATTATTTTGAAGTTTCCTTCTGTTCTTTTCAGTTCTACCTCAATTCTATTTAGATTCTTAGATAACAAACAGAATAGTGTTATATAAGCACCCGAGTAAATGACTGATTGCTCAAGACTGATGGAAAAGTTTTTCCTCTGTAAAAGTGTGCTGTCAACAGGAAGGGGCCATAAATCCAGCCCTGGACAGGACTGCAGTGATGCTTATATTGTACAACCACCACCCACAAGTCCATTATGCAGAAAGCGTAATGAAAACAACAGCAACATGAACACACAAGTTGGGAAAGTGACCTAATGAAGTTTGAGCTCTAGCCACTTGTTAATGAATCTTATTTATTTTCATGGCATCTTTTCATTTGGTACTTTTGCTGGATTAAATCACTTATCATATTGTTTCGATAATCATCTGTTTATGCTACACTTGTGCACTGACCAGTTTCATCCTGTTCACATGCAACTCAATGTTATATTGCCGCTTATGCTTGTATACGACCTACGGATAAGCAAAAGACTTCTGTTGTGAGAGTCACTAGTCTAGGGATATTGTCATCAGAAAAACATAATAAGCTACTTATTTATCAGCTTAAGGGATGTGGTTTGTATGCACACATTGAAATTTGAACCTACAAAAACCTGCATTGCATCTTGATTCTAAAGCGTCAAAAGATGACAAGGACGAGGCAGAAATCTCTAAAGTAAACAGCCCTAGAAAAAACTGCTTTTTTTTTTTTTTGAATGGAAGAGTTTACAGTGTTTGGATCAGTGATCTTGGAGTCTTCCCACAGCTGTTTCTTTAAAAGCAACGTTCTTGATGAAAAAAAAATTCTCACCTGAATAAAACTATTTTTCTGCAAAATTTCCTACCCTTCATATGACTCCATGTCATCACTCTTCCTTGTCTTAAGAAGTCTCTCTGTGCTCTCACAGAGCTGATTTGCCATACGATAAGCATATTATATAACAAATGGCTTACAACAGATGAACACTTCATAACATTTCAATTCTGAAACAACCCAATAGCCACATCTCTTTTCTACTACTTCTTACTGAAGCTCATTACCTGCCATCATCTGCTGATTTTATTCACATCTACACACTTGAAAAAAGAACTGAATTATGTATATAATTTACATGACCATGTACATGATTCGTGTAGCATATGCAGTCAGGTTTTCTCAGTGCAGTTGAGGCTACTAAACAGCATTGCATTTGTTCTAGTACTTCTGTGAGAACTGCACATTCAGAGCTCTCTTCTGTTCTTAAGGTACAGAAATTTCTTTTTCTGAGTCTCCCCAAATCCTAGCTTGGCAAAAGACATGTAAAGAATGTAAAGAACCTCGTTTCACATCTCACACAGGCAACCTGTGAACATCCTCAGTCACCTTCTTTGGCAAAACACTGATTTCAATGCCTAGTTCTCCGTGGGATTTTTCTTGTTCCAACCACGTCAAAGACTGAATCAGCCCTGCTGAAGTAGGTGAAAAGTTTTCTGTCTGCCTTGAACGGATCACCTCCAGCTTCCCCATCTGAGTTCAAAGGTATTTTAAGACTACTGAAAAAAATATGTTTACACTACTTCTTCTGCATCTTCATTTGGTTTAGTATGTATCTATAATTGTTACAAAATTAACAGAAGAAAACACACTACCACTATATTTTATTTACATTGGACCTTATTCTTTTCATTTCACAGTGATTTCAGCACATTCCATCACTTCTCTTTTTCTTTCCAGTAAACACTGCAGTCTCAAAGCAATCAGAAGTCTTCACAATGTGAGGCTATAAACTTCCGCTGAGCCTCGACATGCAAACATTCAATTCTCTTTTCCAGATTTCATTACTATACTCTCTCTTGCCTAGGTTAAGGCAAAAATTAGAAGGCCTTAAACCCAGACAGCACTTAGCATACGTTTTCTTCCTCAGCCTACTTGCTTTGTTTGTAATTGCTTTATTTTTTGTGGTTTATTTGCTTTCCCTTTTTATAGATGAAAACCTCAACTGATGTTATCTTAAAAATCGGACAACTATCCAACAGCTATAGAGTCTATCTAACAACTACCATCAAGGTCTTACAGGGAGACATAAATCTAGTTTTATTCTGAAGCCTTAAGTCCCATACACATAAAAGTTCATCTCCGCCCCCCTTCTAATTCTCCCAGCCCTTCTCCACGCCAGCAAGTACCATGGTTACTTTGCCATCACAATTTCGGAATGCTTATTCAGGGCTTATTCATATGATACTGAACAGACCAAGACAAAACAGCTGGTCTGTAACCAAGGACACAACAAAGTTATGTCTGGCATTAATCAGAATAAGAGATGGCTTTCTGTTTTGTTTTAAGACTGAGTCATCATATACTTATCCATTTGAAACACTTTACCTGAAGCAGGAAAACAGCTGTACAACAACTACCTGGCATGGCTTGAAAGCCCTAGTCCCTATCTCCTATCTCAATCCTGAAAGTTCTTTAAAATACTAAGCGATAACATTGATTTGTTATATAATAACACCTTGTGCTTCCACAGCACTTTCCATCTGAGTATTTCAAAACACATTATAGCCATTAGTGTTACAATATGAGTCTCACAAATCCCTTGGAAACTATAAAATAAACCAGGCACATTTTAGTTGCCATACCAGATCTGGTCAGTGTTTCACTTAATCCAGCATCCTGCCTCTAATAGACAAGAATAAAATGTTAAATATAGCACGTCAAATTATTAAACCCTACCATGCTGTCCCCCAAAGACAGCTGAGCACACATGAAAACAGTAAGCTTGGAAGCCTTTTGACTCCAATTCAGGAAAGCATGATCATTATAAGCATAGCGGCAACTGAGGAATCTCATAGTTTGTGGCACAGTCTCGTTAGTTTTGGCCCAACTTCAAAGGCCCTGCATGTTTACATATGGAATTCAGGAAAACACATGTCAAGGTTAATGACTTACAAGACTCCTCAGGGAGAACCGACTATCACTATCCATATACTGGACAGATAGTAGCAAATTCCTTTTGTGAACACATTTGTGTGAAATGATTAACTTCTCCCACTTTCTCCCAAGCTCCTATGACTCCATACTGCTCTGTGCCTCGTTCAGCTTCAGCCCTACCTCAGTAGCCAGCAGACTGACTGCAGCCCATGCACATGGATTCTGATGGCACAATTATTCCAAGAGAAGGCTGCAAACCTGTGCTTGTCCTCCCACCTGTGGCAATATATCTCTGCTAGAGGAAAATGAAACCAGAACACAGGCTTTGGAAAGTGGGAAAAGCTGGTCCTACCCAAGCAATAAAGCAAACCTAACAGATTTTAAGGCAGGTGGGATATTCCAGAAATTTCAATACTTTGCTGAATTGGCTGTTGTCTTATTAATGTTCAAAAGACATGTGAAGGATGGGGCTGGTAGTTGGCTAAAAAAACAGCTGCAAAACAGACAAAAAGAAAGAATCTTTTACTCAGCTTAAAGAAAAAAGAAAAAACAACTCCTGTGTAAGAATTCTATGCTTGATTTCCCCAGATTTGTTGCATACTCTTTATGCCACCTGCTGCCTTGGCATCCTGTAGAGTTTCAGGTCTATGGACTACTGCACTGGCCTTGAGCTTTCCCAGAACTCAATGCTGTGAGGCTGAGAACAAACATCAAGCAATTCAGTGGGCTGTACTCTACATTTTCCTGTAAACTGATGGCTTGAATCCTCCTTAATGATTGTATCTTCACATCTTGAAGAATACTACCCTCTGGACTCACAGCCCAGCAAATCTCAAGTGCTTATTTTGCTCTTGAGGGCAAGATTTCCCAGCAAAAACAAGCACCCTGGCTCTAGTACCATGCAAGTCAGACATATGGGAAGATCTCTCCTAGACTGTCACTGTGACCTCACCTCCTCCAGAGGAAAAGAAAGTAGAGCCAGAAAGTCCTCCCTCAGGAGGACTTTTCCTTTTTTTTTTTTTTTTAATTAAAAGGTGAAGGTGGCCAGGCAAAAAAGAAAAAAAAAAAAAGGTACTATAGTTCATTCAAAAGCACAAAGTCCCTCAGTAAAAGTGTTAGCTATCTCCTTTTTGCAGACATACTACTAGAAAGTTGCTACCATATTTAATGCACAAAATGAGTTTGCTGGTACAGGCAGCAAGCCTCCACTTGCAAACAGCAGCTGCAGAAGATAGAGCACTCCCTATCCTAACAGCCATAGAAGAAATTTGGCACAGAAGAGTGAGAAAGATGCGACAGCAAAACAGTCATGCTACTACAAGGACTAGCTTCCCACTTCTGTCCCAAAATCAGTGCAGGAGAACACTTCAAGAATTACCTTCATCTCCACAATATGCAATGCCCTAAAAACTCAAGGAATTTGCATGTCTGTGCCAACACACACCAGATCCTTTGATTCAGATAAGCCCATTCTAACACGGGGAGGCAATGGAGGACTGGCCATCCCTGAAAAGCAAAGAACAGTGACCTCCCTGCATCCCAGGTAGGCACTTGGCCCATTCTCACCGCATGGTACTTAACCATGCTGGCTGTCATACAGTTACCCACCTGGCAAACAACTGCTTGGATGACTTTATTTAAGTTCTCACCTGCCTTGTCAGCAAGTCGTGATATTGCAGGATGAGCCTGGTGTTGACACTGTGACTCCACGTGTTACCAAGGGCTGCTGTCACACAAGCAGATTCCCTCTTCCCACTTCCAGAAGTTCCTGAAACTGATTACAAAAGAAACTGCATCAGGACAGCATCACAGAAAAGATTTCAGCATGGAAACTCTAATCAATCATCTCAAGCTGTCACAATTTTGTTTTTAACAGACAGTATTGCATGAAACTCCTGAATATCTGGAGGTGCACTGGGACACACTTGTCTTGTCCTTTTCAAACACAAGAACTCCCAGCAAACCAGCTTTATATGGGCACGGTAAAGCAAGCATGATAGTGTATAACTCAATAACAAAAAGGGAAGTTAAAGGAGCAGGATGTGGTGCCATGATACTCTGATCCAAAAATTAAAATACTGTTTCACACAAGCAGGCATCCCTCATGTTTTCTAAAATTTAAAAAGGGAGCCTTCTAACTGTAAATACCATTGTGATGTTTTGGAGATCATATGAACTTTTTATAACCCTAAAGGAAAATGCTGTCTGCTGTGATCAGCAATGATAATGTAAAGTGCTTCCAATAATGCAGCATGACCCAGCTTGCTGAACTGCCTTTTCACTTGATTTCTTCAGCACTGAAACCAAAGAACCCATTCATGTACATATATCAGTAAACAAGCAGAAAGGTCCAAGACCTCCATCTTTGCTTACAGCAAATTCTGCATAAGATGAACAGATAGATGGTTGTGTTGCTTATACTTCAAATGACACTTTAAGAATGGAGTGCAAAACAGGCAAGTCAACGAAATTTGGAAACAAAATACAAGTTGCTTGGATTTACTTGCAGATATATAAAATGTATTTGTATATGACCGCAACTTGCAGAAAGTCATGGTAATCTGAAAGTTGAAAACAGTTTGTGACAGTCAGTGCATAAAGTTTAAAAGTGATGAGTGTTGACCTGAAGTTGAATGAGAGAAAGCTGGACTTAAAGTCAGGGAACTTCCTGTCACCTGCCACAAAATGAAGACAACAAAAATTGCAATATCAAGCAAAAGCTAAAACTGCTTCCCCAGGATAGCGATAAAATCCTTGTCAAGTGACTCAACTAATATTACATCAGACAAGATTTTGAGGAAAAAAAACTGTGGAAGAGAGCAGATTATATGACAGGGCCACACTAACTTCTACACTTTCATAGAGCCAGTCAAAGAGTTAAAAGAAATTCTTCACCTTGCTTACAAGGTAGCTTATGTTTCACATGGTTAAAGCAGACTATGAAAAGAATATGGCAATGACTGCATTACAAATCGCAGAAAAGCCTTATGTTTCTGTCAAAACTCTGTCAGGAGTGCAGAGTAAATGTTGAAACTTGAATTATAAGTACTAGGTTTTGGAAGCGATTGTGTACTGGGCTGACAAAGGTATCTCCTGCAAACTGCAGTAAAGATCATTATTTATATCACTACTAGTAGCTTGCAAATAATTACAGGAGAATGTATTAGGGAGGAGAGTAGCAGACTGGAGACAGGGGCTTAGAATCACTGCAGTGCACTCAAGGACTCATCTATAGACATCAAATCTCCCCTCTGCCCTCATCCCAGAATAATTTAGATTTGCAGTGACGTTGCTGGAATTTGGATTAGGTCTTTAAACACTTAGGGTGCACTAAAGAAAGAATGTGGTGAAGCACTTGGTTCAAGCCCATAGTTTGATAGGAGCTGGACTCAATACTCGTGAGTCGCTTCCCCCCTCACAGTAACTCACTGCAGCATGCACAGTGACCACTCCTGAACAAGATGTATTCCAGTTTGAAAACAGTCTACAGTTCTTTCCTCAAGCAAGGATGACTGCTTTCCTTTCCTCAGAACAAAAAGTACCCCTATCCTGATAAGCATCAAACTTTTGCATGAATGACTCATGGTAGGAGCTCCTAACTGGAAGTTTCAGTATCAAGAAGGCTATTCTGTTAATCAGTCTAACCAGTCTGTATCGGGAAAGTGGATGTACTGACAATGATAATTTCTCTTTATCTGCATTCCTGATTTAATTTGCCTGTTGGAGGAGAGAATACATCCAAGTGTTAAAAGCAAGGTGCTGGGAGGTCTGTATTCCATCCTATTATTTAAACTAAGTCACTTAAGTTCATTAAGCTCTGCAAACTGCATACACTTCAAAAGTAAAATATCACCACTGTATAAACAGGCTACAGGAGAATAAAAGAAAGAGAAACAGCTTTAAGGCTTTGCAATCCTCTCCTTGTTACATGGAATAAGATTCAAATTTCACTGGTAGTTGATGCTGTCCTTTCCCACCAGCTAGCAACAGGTAGGAATCACAGAATTCAGCTACAGCAGCTCAGAGTGAGCTCTGGTGGTACAGAGGTGACTCCTCACAGCTGATACGAGCATACTCCTGCACACAGCTGGAAGGCCCTGCTCACTCCACAGGGCAGTGGTCACCCATGCTGAAGGGACATCAGACATTAAGTAGCTATTTGCTGGCTTTAAGCAGCTGCTGTTAACTGTTTGGAACCTGGTGATATACAGGTGGTATCACACCATAACGATTCCTAATTCTGCATTTCTTGCAGGCCTAAAACCTGTACCAAAGTGAAGTATTAGAAGTATAAGGCTTGTAGAAGAACAAACAAGCTAACTGCTGTATTTATTTTATTATACAGGAGAAATTCTGCTGCACCACACTGTATCATCCCGTCTGAAGAGGACTTCTTGTGACCCACTTTCAGGCAAATCCTCTCCTATGAAGTTACTCAAATTTATGACTGGTGCAAAGTGGTTAGTAAGCCTGGAGCAAATTTACAGTGAGGACTGTTTACAGGGTGGGAAGAAATGCCTCACAGGAAAGATTTCCATTTTATAAGGGATGCTCCTGCAATGATGCATTGGGCAAAAGGAGGAGCACACCAACAAGCGAGCTTAATGGAGGGGAAGCTGCACCAGCCTTGCAGAAAAGTTCAAGAACAGTGACAGTACGCACTTCTTTCCTTCCCCTTGCTCTAAACACAAAAAGATAGCAATGATTTCAGAAGAAGGAAAGGGTACATGCTAAGAAAATATATTTACATTCAAGCATGGTCTTAAAATCCCAAGTTTATCTTTTCCGTTATTCAAACACTACTTAGTCATTAATGAAAAGCACTAGGAAAATAGATAAATAAAACTGTTTAGAGAGAGCATATTTTTTGTATGTACTGCCTTGATTCTCCTTCTGACATTTTCATATTTAGAGATGGGATAGACCAACCTTGGCCCAAGAAGAACCTGGCTCTTAGAGGCTCCCTGGTTCTAAAAGACATAGGTCTCTGCTCAGAAGTCCTCCCAGTGTCCATCCTGAAGCACTCAGAGAGGCATAAAATAGCAGGTCCCAGCTGATGGGCAGCACCTCTATCTTGCCAGCCTGGTCAGCACACTGCTCATGCCCCAGTCAGTACTGTCACTAAGTTTCTGCTCAGGATATGGCAGATACAGGGAGCTCAGGGATAGGGAGAGGAGGAAAAGGGGGAGGGCTGACAATCTAATGAGAGAGAGACGGCAAATCTCAGTTCACAGCTGGACAAAAGGAAGACAGTAAATGTGAAAAGGGAATGGGTGTGCAGAAGCACAAAGATGGGATCCTAGGATGACCAGGGGACTGGAGTACCTCCCCTATGAGGACAGGCTGAGGAAGCTGGGCTTGTTCAGCCTGGAGAAAAGAAGGCTGCAGGGTGACCTCATTACAGCCTTTCAGTACCTAAAGGGAGCCTACAGAGGGGAAGGGAATCAACTCTTTGAAAGGGCTGATATGTGTAGGACGAGGGGAAATGGTTTTAAGTTGAGGGAGGGGAGATTTAGGTCGGACATCAGGGGAAAATTCTTTACCCAGAGAGTGGTGAGGTGCTGGAACAGGCTGCCCAGAGAGACGGATGGATGCCCCATCCCCGGAGGTGTTCAAGGCCAGGTTGGATGGGGCCCTGGGCAGCCTGGTTTAGCATTAAACATGGAGGTTGGTGGCCCTGCATGTGGCAGGGGATTGGAGATTCATGATCCTTGAGGTTCCTTCCAACCCTGGCCATTCTATGATTCTGTGATAGGGAGGAGAGGGTGCATGGTAGGAGGGTAGGAGAAGACCTCCAAATAAACCCTTCTCCATGTATTCAGATCCAGCTCAAATGAAGTGCAGCAGTGACTTTGATTCCAGTAAACACTCCATTTTTCCTCACACAAAACATACCAGCATTGAAGGGATCAAAGAGCACAGTGGCAAGCAGGACTGCACTCAGTACCTGTTCTGCTGTTTCCCGTGAAACTGGGCTCTTCAGGGCACCACCAGAGGCACTAGAGTAGTGACTGTCTGCTCTGGAAAGCACGAACAAGGCAAAAACCGTCTCCTTCACTCTCACTCAACAGCTGTCAAGTGAAAATAAAGCTTCTTGTGGTTTGGGTCAAATGCAAAGTGAATGACTCTGCACAACCAGGGAAGTAACAGACCAAAGAAGAAAGGGTGATTCTTCAACTGAGGATTATTCAGCTGCAGTGTCATCTCCACACAGAGGTTGAGGTGCATATCTTCTGGGCTCTGACGCCTTGACAGAAGCTGTCAGAGGAATTGGGGCTACAGCACTTAGTCCTGTTACATACAAAAGTTAAAATCATTTTGTCCAATTCTCCCATCAGTGCAATTTAAATGAACGTTCCTAAAGACTTTCCTTAACACTGAGATAGTCTGAATGGGGATAGTAGGTTGCAATCTCTATCATTTCATAATTTAAAAATCTTTTTTCAATTAATGCAAAAAGGGACTGATACACATTAGGACATGGAAGTAACAAAACACAGAAGCTACCAATCCCCAAATTTCAACATAAAATCATCTCGATGAAAGCCCGATTTATCAAAAAAAGGAGGAAAAACCCTCCAAAAGTACAGAGAAAATATTTATAAAGAAGTAAACTACTGAGATGGACAAAAAAGGCACATAATAAAAACAGCACATCTTGCAATAAGTACTTTCCCTCTCACACAGGCTGCGTAGTTTTCCTGTATGGATGTTCTGGTTCACTGGTGGAGCTCAAAGATCACTGCTTTTCACCTGCATTGCATTTAGTCTGCA